ACCCAGAAGCATGATATCATGCATGCAAGTTTACAAAATATAACTGCCAAAACAGTATGCGCGCACATACGAAAATTCTGGGAAAGTGGTCTATCATCAAAATTACAGTTGAGGAGTGGGGTATGAACAGGAAAGGCAATTATATATAGATATATCAAACTTTAACATCTTCCTGGATATTTTTCTACTCCTTGACACCCCCAGTTTAAAAAAAAATGCCTGGAAAGAAAATTCATTAATCGCTGTCACCAGTTTTATGCAATTGTCTGAATCTGATGTGGGGGACAGTCACTGCAAAATTTTGGTAGTATAACTATCATTAGTATGTGGCACCTCACTGTGAAAAGAATGTCTTCACGTAGTTTGAAATATATATGAAAACATTCCAACAATATATATACTGTTAAAGTAAACATCTGTCCAAACTGAAACCCAGGGTTCTATTCTGTGAGACATTGGGGAAAAAAATGATAGAATCAACCGGTGACTGATTTAAATTTGTTTTGCTAAAATACATAGATCTGATTGAAAGTGCCTGTAAAACGTGCGTCTGATCCATGATGATGTAGTGAATAGACAAAATGGTAGGTTGTTGAATGCCAAAGAGGGCACACTTTTAAGATACTAGTACACTCACTAACAGGATCTAACATTAGGTGATATAGGCAGTGGACAAATAAACTGTTTGCCTGTCAAAGAAGAGTTCAAATACTGTGAGGTTATCACTAGATATCACTAGTTTATACAGCTGAGTGACATGGATTGAATTGGCTAGAACAGTTGATAGATGCCACACATATCCACCATTTCTACAAATAAGTAATATAGAGTAATTCAGCATTTCATCACATGATCAACCCCAAGGGTTAAAAAAAACAAAAACTTATTTGAAATTATGCTTAGAAATGGTATGCAAAGTTATTGTAATTATACATGTCTAAACATGATGACTGAATTTGTGGCAATAACTGGTTGACAGATTGTCAGACTAGCCATTTATTACTGATGGATTCAAAGTATTACTGGTGCAGACAGAAACTTAAAAACGATACCAGTGCACTATAAATTTGTTTATACACGTACATGTACACTTAGAACAAACAAATAGTGTCAGCTGTGATACTTCATTCACACTGTACATCCTAACAATGAATCATGCACAATGGTCATGTAATAAACCTGTTTATTTCAGAGTTACATCAAACTTTTTTAAGGTAACAATTTCTTGAAATCATTGTAAAACTTGCCCAATTTTTGAGTGGTCCAAAACTAATTTGGTGATTATTAAAATGATTTGACAATATATTAAATAATTGAGATACATTATACAATGTCAAAATTGAACAAAATTACATTTAGTATGAGAAAATAGGCGTTGCTCATTTTTAGCCAAAGATAGTTTTGTGTAGAAATCCAATATGGTCATTCCCAAGCTGCTTTGCACCTTCAAGGAGATTCCATTACTTGGAGGGGGTTGATGCTGAATTCACATCCCCCGAATAAACCCAAAGACTAAATGAATCGTAATGGTTTAATGTGTGGAATCAAATATTCTTATTAGTATTCTATGATATGCCTTCCTTATATCAATTTTCTTGATAAAATACCACAGAAAGTTAAGAAATTAATAATGGCACGTTGTGAGAACTGTTGGATTTCTGTTTTCATTTTGTGATATAACCGTTGAAAAAAATATATCAATAACTGTCAATCCACCTGCAATTTGTACTTTTGTAGCAATGTTGATATATTACTGCCCAAATTTTTGTGTAATTATTAGTGAACATTTTGATAAATTCTCTGAGCAGTGGAAGCAGTGTGCTTTTTTTTATCAAAAGCATATACGCTCACATAAATGATATTATTTTAACATTTTCACCACTAGACTTTCTCGTCCAAATTTTTCTGCACTTTTTTCTTATATTATTCAATATTTCTGGCAATGAACCCTAACAGACAAAATTTGAGTCAATTTTCACTCAAAAAAATTGGCTATTTGTCCTAGGAAAGTGCAGACTATAAATAGAACTATTTTGTGAATTTCTGATGAAAAGAGGGAACTTGTGTGAAAAGGATCCAGCATCCAAAACATGCTTGTGTGTTTCTATTGTTGATGCACTTCTAATAGGGCAAATACACTTTTTTTTTTCTTTTTTTGGCACGATTTTCACTGCTGCAAGAAAATCTAAAATCATCACTAAAATTGGTAAGATCAAACTCTGAGCTGTAGTACCTTTTCAACATAATTATCAGCTTGTATTATGTTGCCGATATTACTGCTCAAAGAAAACAGATGAGATAAAATGAAATTATAAACCAAGACATAACAAATATCCATCTAGATGATTATTATAATAATGTTTTTTCATTTTTATATAACCCTTTGAATGCCAAAGTTATTCCTGCCAACATTTGGTTGCACCATTTAGCATATTTGTATGTATTTTTCTAAAATTACTTATTAATTTTGGACCAAATGAATATAATAGATCTTGATCAACATTTTTTAAATAGGTTAATTATTTTTTTTTTAAATAGATCATTTTTGAAATATAGTTTGATAATTTTTGAAAGTTTGATAATTTTTTTAATAGTTTGATAAGCAACTATGTAGTTTTGATTTGTGTATTGTGGCAAAAGTCAACTTTGACAGTCAAAGGGTAAAGTAGTGTAGAAATTAAATGATGAATAGACCTCCGAATAGTGAACAAAAAACAGAATTGTCAAAATGGTTGACTATGTACTTTTACAATAAAGTACTTGATTACCAACTAAATTATCGTAAATTTTAAAGACTAAATTAACGTTGACGAAAGTCATCCTGACGCAGTCTGTAAATGTGAAATATTCACTGCTACAACATTTCACTATTTTGAGTGGCATTGTTATCCGAACTTTACATGTGCATGTTCTACCGTTTTATTACCGGTGTTGTTCTTTTCTCCAGTTGGTCTACACTACAGTATTATTCTCTATGTGCAGTTCCAAACATAAACATTGTTCACGGCCGAGAATCACGGTCATAAGAGTACATTATTGTCACAAAAATAATATGACCAAAGACCATATCACAATTCCAAATTGCATTGCATTGTGGTACAGTCACTTTGGGTTGCACGAGCGGGCATGCTTCAAGATTGGCAGAGTTGTGTTCGATCACGGTTCAATTCGATCAAAATTATGTTCAACAATGTACGAAATTTGGAATTGCGAAAGTTCTAAAGCATGACACATAATTTTGATAACTGTTTGAATTTACTAGCTTGCCAGTAAATATGATACTGACTTTTAGCGTATCTTTTAAAAACTGTTCATTATCAATATGGAAACATTCATTGTTGCGCGAGCCTCCCCTATAAGCACATGCACAGTTCTGATGACAATGCCACTTTCAAGTCATTGTACAACATTGTTTTCCCTACTACAAATTGTTCAATTTTTTACAAGAATTATTTTTGTCAATGACCTGGTAAAGAGTAACACAACAGATGAAAAACGAACAAAAAAAACAAGCATTTTGGCAAGGTAAACAATCATTTAGGAAGTATGTGATACTAATTTCAGAAAATATGGTTAGAAGGTCACCTCCATGACGTGTAAATTATCCAAACTAAAACTTGACCCTAGTGCAAATGTACTCTAAAACATGTTGAAATAAGCTACACGCTATTTTAGCGAATTTGACTCAGTCATTGAATTTACTAAATCTTGATTTAAGTGCCAACAATCTCATTGTAAGAATTTACTTTATTTTTAATTAGCAACATCTTGAATTAGCGAAATTACAGATTAGCCTGCTAATCTAGCTAGCTAAAAAGAGGTATTACTGCTTAAAGGGCGGCAGTCACCGTGCCGCGCTCTGTTTGATATGGGACTCATAGGGCGTATACAACGCGTGTAAAATACATTGTTTATTTACATGAAATTTGAATACGCACTGCGCGACGACCACCGCGCTTTAACCCTTTGAGTGCCAATGTCAACTTTAATTCACCTCTCACATAATAAACCGCATTCCAATTTCAATCAATAGCCAATAGGCAATGTGTATGTTACATGAAAATAATTTTGGCATTCAAAGGGTACTTCATCCATACAAGTGAGTATGTCATGGTGTGACATTTCGCTGTAGTTTAGGTTTAAAAAAAGGACATACTATACAAAAACATGTATAGTTAAATATGGTCAAATGTCAATTTCAGCAAAAGCTCAAGACTTCCCAATAATTGCTGATCGAATGGAAATATTATCCCAAAGTTGTACGAGATATATCCTAGATATATCCAAGAGCAAAATTCTGCATAACATTTGGAGCTTCGGAGTCGAATCCAGCTATATCCAGCATTCCCGCATCCATGGGATCAGCTATAGTGAAGCCGTTAGACGCCATTGCACATACAATTAGCTTGGAATCGAGTGACATATCCTTGCGGTACTGCAGTAAAGCCTGTGCTGGATGTACAGGACCTATCCAGGTTTCACTGTCTGTATAGATAATAAAGACATCAACTGGTGTCTTGGTCTCTCTTGCCCATAGCATGGGTTGAGCACAGTCAGTAGCACCCATTTGAATCTTAAGTAGAACAGAAGAAAAAAAAAGAAACTTTAGATTCTTGATCAGAAATTATCCACAGAAAAACACATGCACAACTGTTGTGGTATCCAAGTAATTTCTCAAAGGTGTTGTTTGGGCAACAAACTTCTTCAGGATTTCCAACAAATCACTGAGAATTAAGCCAAAGCGAAATACTGTAAAATACTTTATTTTCATTTGAAATTTATTTATTACTGAAGAGATGAATCAAGGAAAATAAAATACTTTTTTCAGATAATTTACATTCAACATCAGTGAAAAAATGCTTAATGCACAGTACCCAAAATATATTCGCTGCAAAAATTAATTCCAGCTAAAATAAAGTATTTTACAGTAATGCAGATGAAATGTTGTGATCCATTTCACACACAATGGTCTATTGTCCATCAGTTCTATCAGAGGTACATTACTTGGGGTTTGCAACTACGGTGACATGATACCAAGATCCCAATCAATCTCGCTCTCGCATACGCGTTCCCTGCTCAGAACAATGCGAATGTGCATGCCCAAGGTAACTAGGTTACTGTGTGGTCCAGGTGGATCAAAATAGCTGCCCACGATATGATGGATTGCGAGAACTATATTTTCTGTACATTTTCGATGTATTACATTTTTTCACTATGATAGTGGCAAGACATGTTTTATTTTTTTATTACAAACCTTGAACATTGATATATGTCATGTCAGAAGGTCGTTGCCTCAGTCTCGCTATCTACGAGAAGAGACTTGAATGGGATCTTGACATAATGTCACCATACAGTACTATGCGCGTTGCAAACCCCAAGTAATGTATCTCTGATAATATATATAGTAAGATATTGTATTTGCTACAAAATATCAAATTTCCATATAGCTTGAATACACTTCAGTCTATTTTTTTTACAGCACAGTAAGAATACACTGACATTACAACCTGCATGAAAATTCAGAAAGTTAGAAAACCAGAAAAAATAGAAGGACAACTATTGTGGTGCACCACAAGATGGCAGCCATCTTGGTCAGGGATTCTACAGGTGGTCAGATTTCATAACATTTTACTTTTAAAAATTGTTAGTGAATTTGAGACCCATTTTTAACAACAAACTCTTGAAATATTATAAAAAGAAGACAATACATCATGCTCTTCAAAAGGCAATTGGAATATTCTTTTCAAGACACAGACAATGTCAAAGTTAACTTGACCCATATGACCTACAATAAATGAGCAATATAACCAAAAAGTTGAATAACCTTGAATTTCAAATCATTTTTAACCTCGCCAAAAAATTTGTCATATTTCAGAATTTGTCAAGGCCTTAAAATATGCAAATTAGACTGATAAACAAACAGTTACTGATGTGAAGTTCGACATTCAGTTTTAATGACCCTCCGAGGAATTATTTTTTATATGGTCAATCATTGTTTTTGATAAATAAATAAATAAAGCTGATGATTGTCAGACACTGAGAAAAAGTTATCTTGAACAAAAAGTATAGCAAGAATTTAAGACATAAAAAAACAGAACAAACAAAAGTCATAGTGCTGTAGTAGTGTCAAAATATTGCCAGGGATTTGATATAGCCGAAAGTATTTTTTTAAACACATTTGATGATTGTCAATTTTGGATGAAAAGGAAGGTATCTCGATGCCATGTTTCCCTCTGAAAAATCAGCATTTACATATTGAACAATGAGAAAAAGAAATTCAAATTTCAAGTAATTCAAACCATTCAATTTTTGCATCAGACATTTGCATCTTTTCCACATTATGAGAGATCTCGCTGTGAAGGGAAAATCAGTTTATATGAGAGAACTCTGTGGACCTACCTGGGATAACTGCTGACAAACATCATTTAAATTAGAATCAGCGCTGATATTCCAGGTATCAATTTATCAAATTTCAAGCAATTCAAATCAAATCAAATCTTCAATTTTTGCATCAGACATTTGCTTTACATCTTTCCCACATACGAGAGAACTCGCTGTGAACGGAAAATCAGTCTATATGAGAGAACCTTGCAGACCTACCTGGGATAACTGCTGGCAAACATCATTTAAATTGGAATCAGCGCTGATATTCACAGGTATCAATTTATCAGAGAATGCCAAAATATGACAATCTTTTTCGGTTTTAGCAGTCACCATTAACATGGCGGCTGACGCAATAGCTGGCGTGATAGATTTGGCACCATTCACGTTGCCGTAAGACATAGATCCACTGACATCCATGGCCAACAAATAACGCTTACCAGTTGCTTCTACATTCTGAAATTACACAATACCCTCAAATGTAATTACATATGAATTACTAATATCATTAACACTTTCATTTAAAAAATGTTTCCCAGCAAAAATTTTGGTACAACATTTTGCCTGTTTTTAGGTGATTTTCTTAATTTTTTTTTAGAATAATTACAGACCAAATGAACATAATTTCTAAATGTTTACAAAGATCTTGAGCATAAA